GTTAGTCTCCCAGTCTGTTACTTTATATTCCACAGTAAGTGCAATCTTTCTATGCCTGTCCCTTTCTTTCTGACTCATTTCACTTAACTTGATACTTTCCATGTTGATCCAACTATATACAAATTTCATTACTTCATTTTTTCTAACAGTTTTATAGTATTCTATTGTGTAGATGTACCAAAGTTTCTTTAACCAATCACCTGTTTAACCAAGTCACTCGACACCGCCTTTTCTGAGGCAGCTCACATACCACACAGTTCAGCCGCTTAGCGTCCATGGCCCAGTGTCATCCGTGTACTCGCAGAGCCACGAAGGACACTAGCCAGGTCTTGAACAATCTCCTCACTCTGTGAAGAACTTGTCAGTGCTGATGTTCTAGCTGCCATGGCCGTTTCAGTCTCCTGCGATTCTCTGCACTCCGCCCTCCTTGGACATTTCCCTAACACGATGCTGCACCATGGGTTGTGCACAGCTTCTTTCCTGGGATGACTGAAGCTTTACCCACTTGGAGGATCCATATTTCATTGCATTCATTACAAATATTGTTCCTTGCAAGGAACACACCCATTTGCTCCTGCGGTGCAGGGAGAGGTGGACAGTTCCCTTTCTCTCATGCATGTGTGTATGTGTGTATGTGTGTTGTGCATGTGCATTCATGTGTCTGTACGTGGGTGTGCATTGTGTATGTGCATGCATGTGCATACCTTTGTGTGTGTGTGCTTCTGTGTGTGTGCATGCATGCACAATGTGTTATATTCATTTGTGTTTGTGCATGTCTGCATATGTGCATGCACATGTGTGTGTGTGTGCATACATTCCTGTGAGTGCCTGTGTGTGTGAGTGCCTGTGTGTGTTTGTGTGTGTGTGTGTGCCTGTGTCTCATTTCTCCTGTGTGGATGCCCAGGATGGAGTCACGAGGTCTCAGGGAGGTCTCAGGGCTACTTACTCTGGCTCTCGGCCCAGGGGTCTCTCCTGGTGGTCTCAGGCAACCAGGCAGGACTGACTAAGGTAAGCAGCTGCGTGTGAGACAAGCTCCTTAACCCCACGCTGCCTGCTCAGAACAGATTGTGAGCCTCTGACAGGCCGTGAGGTTCACTCCCCCCTCACTGCTCTCTAGGTTCTTCTTTGGTTCTTCTTTCTAGGTTCTTCGTGGGGGGCGGGCACCATGGCAATGTGCAAAGGCTCCTCAAGGCTAAGCACTCAGGAAGTACTCCTGGTGGTACTGGGGGACCATCTAGGATGTTGGGATTGAAACCTGGGTGTTCCCCATGGCGAACAAGCATCCTTCCACTCACTTCTAGTGCTGCAGCCCTCGGGCTCTCTTTCTCTTTCTCTTTCTTTCTCTTGATTTATTTATTGGGCTGCCCAAGCAATGTTCAGGGAACCTGAGGGCCTCTCTGGGGTTTTTATCAGGCCAGCAGTTCAGGGTAAAGGCCAGTGGATCAGTGCTGCTTGGTCCCTTGGCCTTGGATCTCCAAGGGATACCAGGCAGAGCTTGGAGACTTTTGGGCATGGGGGGGGGGGGGATAACTGGCTTGGATCCCTGAAGTCTACTTCTCTGTATCAAGCCCTGCACCAGGGGCTCTGCTGCGATGTGATCTCTGCTCTGGGACTAACCGTGGTCTGGTGGCCGGGAACTGACCCTCTGACCCTCAGATGTGGGATTATGTCTAGCATTGTCTCTCAGCGAGCCGATCTGTGAATGGGTTCGAGCCTCAGAGTGCAAAGGGAGAGACTCAGCCCCCCCAAGACTCATTTACAGGGTCTTGGTAATGCCCAGATAATGCCTGGAGACCCCCACAGTGTTGGGGTGTCCTAGGCTTGAGTCCACTCCACCTTGGACACCGAGAATTTCAGAGCAGTGCTAGCAACCCCCATGGCCTTATGAAACTCCACTCTTAGGAATCCCCTAGTGGGAAGTTTGGCCTGAAACAAGGGCCCCCCTGAGAAAATGGAGCCACTGTGCTGCAGGGACAAGGATGAGCTGTCCCGGCACAGCAATGTGCACCATTCGGGCTGGGCACTCCTCTGGGTTGTCATTGGGTGTCAGTGTTGAGTCACACCCTACCTGTCACCCACCTGCCCTGGGACAGCATGTCCCCATAGAGACACACTGGCCTCCAGTGTGTAAAAAAAAAAAAGCCAGTAACCATGGCCCAGACGTCCAGAACAGGAGCTCCAAGACAGCGGGCAGAGGTGGGTCTCTATCCAGGTGTTCATTGCCCTGTGGCCCTTGTGTGGGTCTGGGGTGCAGGCTATCTGAGACGGATGATTCTTCTGACACCTCACATCTCTTTCCAGGGGTGATCACCAGATCCGTAGTCTGGGTGCTCCTTCCTGGCCATCACCTTGGTGGGCGTCCTGCTGTTCTTCTTGAGGTAAAGGTGAAACCTAGGGGGCCCAGGGAGAATGGGGCTCCCTGGCTCCAGCCTCACCCTCTTCCCCTCCTGACAGTCTTCTCAGTAGGAGTGAGAATAAGCCAGCATCCAGGAACCAGGTGTCCAGGTAAGCAGCCAACTCCCTGGGCTCAGCCTCAGTGTAATCATTCATTGAACCCAGGGGCATGTGTTGAAGGGTCCCGATGTCCCTGAGACAGGGGCAGCCCCATTTCTCACACCCTGACCAGGTGACCTGGATTGGGCCCTTTCATCTGTCCATCACCATTTCAGCCCCTTAGTGGGCTACACTGCTGGGGTGACTGAGAATGAGTTAGGAACCCTGTCCATAGGTGACTGTCACCATGGAGACTGGCCCACAGGGCCGTGATGTCTGAGTCCCATCACCAACCATAGGACTAGAAAGAGAGACAGTCATGTGGGGTGCAAGGATGTACACAGAAGGGAGGGCAGAAGTCTCGTGCATAGCCAGGCCGAGGGTCCAGCTGGGGCAAAGGCCCACAGCAAAGCAATCAGTGTCTGAAGCCCATCAGCAACCCCGGAGTTGAGTAGAGGTAGATTGTCAGGAGCACCCAGACATGGTAAGTCCATGGGGTAATGTAGGACTGACTTTGGGGATTCTAGGAGGACTCTGGAGAGACTAGTCAACCCTTATAGTCCATTCCAGAAACAGCCAGAAAAAGAAAGTTCTGGACACATGCCCACAGGAATGGTCACCGCGGATTAGAAATGGGATGAGATGCACAGGTTCTAGACATGGACAGTATATTTCATTTATGTGTTTGTTGGGGGCTGGAGTGATAGGACAGTGTGTTGGGCATTTGCCTTGCAAGTGGCTGATCGGGTTTGATCCATGGCTTCCCATATGGTCCCCTGAGCACTGCCAGAAGTAATTCCTGAGTGCTGAGCATCACCTGGTGTGACCCAGAAAGCATGGGTACTTGTCTTGCACAGAAAGTTTCTAGCACAACGTCCAGTTCCCAGCACACCACCCTGCATGCACTTCTCTCTCCAGCCCCTAATTGACACTCTAAACAGGGTGTGTGGCTTGAAGGACAAAGGGCTCAGGGTGACAGCCAGAACTTCAGCCTGAGAATCCATCTGGGGTCACCACAGATCAAGGGGCAGTGTTCTGGCGGCTGCATGTGGAGGGCTCGGGAGCTCAGCTGTGCACTCGGGAAGTGGCAGATGCTTGTTGACATCCCTGGGCTGTCCCCAGCAGAGCTGGAGGGGCTGGGAAGGGCCATGAAAACATTGTCAGTGCTTGGTCTGTCTCTCATACTGGATCTCTGTGTCCTGGGAGGGACGGAGGCGAGGAGCTGGAAGGGGGAGGGGCGTAGTGACCTGGTCAGATGTCTGCAGGGCAGTGACCGTCAGAGTCAGGAAACATTCTCCATGGCAGAGGGCAGGTTTCTTTTCACCTCTGATGCTGCCTGCTCACTGCCTTCTCTGGAGTTCAAGTGTTGCCCTGTCCGTGTGACAGTGTTTCAATCTGTGTGTTTGCTTGTCTTGGTGAGAGGTGGCCTTGGGGAGAGTCACAAACATGTGACAGAGGACATGGGCAGGCGAGGACACAAGCCTGATGTGATCCGAGAGTGGCCAGACTTCAGGGAAGTGTGTCTGGGGTGTAAGGGGTGTACCATGGAGAGGGAGATGTGGACAAGGCCTTGTATGAGGATATGATCTATGAGAACGTCGGTGCCCGGAGAGCTCATGGAGAGCGGAGTGTGATGCCCTGTCCAGCTACACGCAGACTCTGCTTCCTTCTCCCTCCCAAATTCACAGCCCTTGACACCAGGACCTCATTCCCAGGCCCTGCAGGGAACTCAGCTCCCTGAGGAGTCTGGGTATGTGGGCTGTCCCCAGGAACCCACCTGAGCCTGGATCCTGGGTCCCTGAAGGGTCCAAGACAATCGCCACACTTCCTAGTTCTTTGTGGAAGGAGATGGTGGTGGGGATGGGAGTGGCCTAGCCTCAGGGTCTCCAGGAATGGACCACTGTCTGAAGAAGCAGGAATGGGGGCACACAATTCTGGCTGAGAAGCAGGGGCAGGCCGGATGCTGCTCTCCATATGCTTAAGAAACTAAATCACTTTTTGAGGATCTGGGGCTTCCTTGCATCCTGCAGCCTGTATATATATTGCCCTTCTATCCAGTAATTTATTAAATCACCCTTCTTTCAGGGATGCTTGTGTCAGTGGGTTTCTGGACCTGGAAGTAGTATTGAGATAGAGGTGGGTGCCGGATGTTTGGAGCTGAAGCAAAAAATCTCAGGAAGGAAAGTAGAGACACCCACATTTTTGTTTCTGAAAAAAAATGTCTTTTGCATCGTCAAGTCCTAGGGACATGGCCACTTGTGTCCTGGTCTAGGCTAGGGGAATCTAGTGTCAGAACTCATTATGGGCTAAGAAGGGGTGATATTTGCCACTAGGGTGCTGGGGAGTCTCTTAGGGCAGGATAGTTGAGTATTTGGGTCTCTAGAGAGGTGTTTCTATCTGAGGACTGTGTGTGCCACTGACCCAGTCTTGAAAGAAGGGTGAGCCACTCCCTCAGTTGCGAGCACCCTGCGGCGGTGGGGCCAGGGCCGGGGTTCATCATGGCGTCCCCTTCTCGGAGACTGCAGACCAAACTGGTCATTACTTGTTTCAAGAGCATTCTCTTGATCTACACTTTCATCTTCTGGATCACTGGTGTTATCCTTTTTGCTGTTGGCATTTGGGGAAAGTTGAGCCTGGAAAATTATTTTTCCCTCTTAAATGAGAAGGCTACCAATGTCCCCTTTGCGCTCACTGGAACTGGCACTGTTATTATTCTTTTGGGTACTTTTGGTTGATTTGCTACCTGACGAGCTTCTGCATGGATGCTGAAACTGTATGTGATGTTTCTGACTCTTATTTTTATGGTCGAATTGCTTGCTGCCATCATAGGATTTGTTTTCAGACATGAGATTAAGAACAACTTTAAGATTAATTATGAAAAGGCTTTGAAACAGTATAATGCTACAGGCGATTATAGAAGTGAGGCAGTGGACAAGATCCAGAGTACGTTGCATTGTTGTGGTGCCACTAACTATACTGATTGGAAGGATACTGATTATTACTCAGAGATTAATAATTACTCAGAGATAATAAAAAAAGGATTTTCTAAGAGTTGCTGTAAACTTGAAGATTGTTCTCCACAGAAAGATGTAGATAAAATTAACAGTGAAGGTTGTTTTTATATAGGTAATGACCATTATAGAGTCAGAAATGGGAGTTGTTGCAGGAATTTCTTTTGGTGTTGCTTGCTTCCAGCTGATTGAAATCTTCCTAGTCTATTGCCTTTCTCATGCTATAACAAATAACCAATATGAGATAGTGTAACCAGCATATCAAGGAGGACCCCTCTCCAACTCTAAGGACAATTAACATGCCTTTCCTCTCCATGTGAACTCTTAAGATCACCTGCATGGAAGACCAACTACCAAAAAACTACGCCGATAGTCTGATTTAATCAAGACAGTTGTTCAATAATTCTAATGTCTATCTTCGGAATCATTTGTGTTAGATCATTAACAACACATATCACTCTGAAACACTGGAATAACTAGTAAAATATAAATGAAGCAATACTGTGTTCCTCTTTTTCTCAAAGTGGGGCTTTCGAAAGACATTGTGAGTTTGATATTGATGTAGTAGGCTAGGAAGTTGACCCTTCTGAAGGTTATCTGATTTCATTGTATAATTTGCATTGAATAGTTAAAACATTAGTTTGTTTTGCTGATAGGCAGAGTCACATTGTGAATTTAATTTCAACCACTGGTTGGATGGCATCAATCATCAGAGCTGCCAAATGGTGGTAATGGTGCTTTGTAACATAAGGCACCCAAGACAAAAAGGCACTATCAGTGTTTTGTGAAACATCAAGTTGCATCACAGTTAGACTTTGAATTTCTTTGCCTAAAAATTAAGGTGCTTCTAATAATATTTGTATTTCCCCTATTGCTTGAAAGGTTCTAATAATTACTTTAATGGTGTTGGAATTATTGTATTTTCTTCAGGAACTTAAAGCAACTAAAATTCATTAGATATAGCTGGTGTTTTCTTACCAGGTTGATAGGACTTAATTGTCAATATTTTGATCAACGTTTAATCATCTTTGTTTTGGTGTGTACTTTTGATTAATAAATATAAATCATATAAACAAAAAAAAAAAAGAAAGAAGGGTGAATGCCAGATAGTCGGAATAGAAGGCAGAAAATCCTAGGGAGAAGCCGGAGCAGCAGCACAGCGAGTAGGGCACTTGCCTTGCACGCAATGGGCCCAGGTTCCATCCCATGCATGCATATAGTCCCAAAGCCCTCCAGCAGTGAGTCCTGAATGCAGAACCAGGAGTTCCCCCTGAGCACCGCCAAGTGAGACCCCAGAACAAAGAGAGAAAAGGAAATCCTGGGGAACCAGGGTAAATATCCACGGGTGCCTTGGGGATTTGACAGAAGGAAGGACGCAGGGCAAAGCGGAACGTTCCACTGACTGGGAACTAAACACGCACACGCGTTTGCACCTACAGTGCACTCACGCATATGCATGGACATACATGCAGGTCTACACACACGTGCCGCTCACTTACCGTTTCCCATCCCAGGTGCTCAACCAGACTCTCACAGCCTGCCTCTGTGACCCATGGCTGCCACCAGCCTTGTCAGTGGCCCAGACGTAGAGGAGATATGGAAAGAGACAACCCCACCCCATTGTTTGGGTGGGGCCTGGTCAAGGACAGATTAAAAAATACGACAAATGGCTGTTTCCGCTGCTCCTTTTGTCCTTCTAAAGCTAAAGAAGCACGTTCCTGGTTCTGGGCCCTGAGTCTGTCATCACTGCCCGGACCTGAGTCTTCCAAGCACTGTGCCCTGTTCACTCGCTGTACTATGTCCACTGCCCTGGGTCCCAGCACCCAGAGTCCTGACAGCTGGGGCAGACACTGTAGTCTCCACATGGGGGAGGCCGCTCCAGAGTGCACCCAGCTGTCCTGCGACTTCCAAGGTCCCTGGACACCCAGGCATAGGGTGGCTTGGACAAGCCTCCATTCTGTCCACTGTGACACTTTCTTGGTCCTGTCTCCTTCACAGGTCTGGGTTCGGGCCTGAGGCATACCTGTTGGGGACACAGTGCATCTGACTTCTATACTCTAGAGGACCCGGAAACAGGGCTGAGGTGAGGGGACTAAAGAAGCAGGTGGGCAGTTGGCTGGGGCTCAAGGACTCGAAGACACATCCAGGTCCTGTGGTCTTTGTCCCTGGCAGACTGCTGCCTGGTCTGGTCTCGTCCCAACAGCTGCAGAGACTTCTTCCTGCCCCTTCTGCCCCTAAGTTCATAAAAAGTTAGAGCTCAAGGGCCAGGAGGTGCCCCAAGGTAGTAGGGCTTGACCCTGTCCTGTGATTACCACCTGCCCCAAGGGAAACTTGAAAGGGCCAGAACATGGCTCAGTGATAGAGCACTTTTCTTGCACCTGTGAGACCGAGTTTGATCCTGAGCATCACCTACAAACAAAAAAATTAAAGGCACACCCTCTACCCCTATTCTTCCCCGAAGAGCTGCTGTTGGGTCAAGAGCCCAGGAAGTCAAGGGTGGGGTAAGGCTGCACAGGGGACGGGGTGAACCAGGGCAGCCACCTGCTCTTCCCAGCATAGTTGCTGGCGAGAGGAAGGTCAGGTTCCGAGCAGGGCAGGGCAGGGGCCCACAGGGTGGAGAGCCACATAACGCAGAGCCCCAGGATGGGAACTGCAATGGGAGGGCTGGCCGAGATGAATGCGTGCGTTCAGGAAGTACCGACCTGGTCTCCAGGTGATCCAAAACTAAGAAGGGGACCTGGATTTAAGGGGCCTACACCAAGTGATATTTGGTTGTTCCCAGGGGTGCTCAAAAGACCAAGGGACATTGGGAATCTAACTCAAGACTCCTCCCAACAGCACTCCCAAGAGGGCTGCTATAGTGGGGTTCCACCAGCAGGGGGAGATGGCCACCAGCAGCGAGTTGATTCCTTGGTCCAGAGGTTGCTGGCAAGTCCTGGGGCCAGAGGCCGAATGCAGCGGGCAGGGTTCTTGCCTTGCACATGGCAGAACCATGCTCCCCAGCAATTCCACAAGGAGTGATCCGGAGTGCAGAATCAAGATCTTTGATATATTTTTTTTTGCTTCCAGAGGTTTTTATGTATTGATTTTTAATTTTTATTTAGTCAGCTTCCTCTTGACTTTCATTACCAAAACCCATTATTTACAAGTTAACATACACGTGAAGTCCAAATGCTGGGACACTGCTAAAGCCAAAGCCTGGGTGATAATCAGCAAGTACCTTTCCCTTATAGTACTGATGTCACTGGAAGCTTGTCACACACTACCTGGATTACTTCCTTCTTGGCTGCACTCCTGCAGTCCCCTAACACTCCTGGTCCAAACAAAACCTGTCTCTCTAGGGGCACTCCTCTGAATGTGGGGATAGTTATTAGGGATCGACTCATCCAGTGTGCATTTTATGTTGTCTACAAGGCGTGAGACATATGCAAAGGCCTTCTCACATTAACAAACATAAGATTTCTCTCCAGTATATGTTTTGATATGGCTAGTAAGGGTTATGGGTTGAGTGAAGGGCTTGCATTTTCTTACATATTTAAGACTTCTCTGTACTGTGACTTTTATTATTTTTTTACTCTTTCTTTCATAATTTTTTCTTCTTATATTTATTTATTGAATTACTGTGGGAAAAGTTACTAAGCTTTCAGGTTTGTCTCGGCCATACAATGAACAAACACCTTTCCCTCACCAGTACTCATTTTTCACCACTAAGAACCCCAATATAATCCCCTCCCACTCCTCCCAATGCCTGTGAGGCAGATGATTTCTACTTAACTCTCTCCATATTGATTACATTCATTATTTCTACAAAAGATGCACCATTATTGTTTAGAATTCCCCCCCGCCCAACAATCAGAATTTCTGAAAAGGCATTGTGAAATACTTTGTTTTCTATAGCTGGTTATGAGAATCATATAATGTCACGGGGCTGTGATTTTGGATTTCTACAAAGAGCCAGATAATTACGAGATTGGTTTCTGTGTGTCTGATGTTATGGCTCGTGGGGGGCAACTCATGGCCTCAGTAGGGCGTGAAGGACGAGCCGGTACCGCCCCCACCTTCCCATGAGACAGCAGTTGCCCTGTCACCGCTGGCTCATACTTGGCTTTCCAATAAGCTCTGAGGCGGCAGCCACCTTGTATGCGGTCCAGATGCATTTCTGCCAAAAGCTACTGGGTTTCGAGATTTGTTTCTGAGTCTCTGGGATCATGGCCATTAATCAGCTTGATCAGGTGCCAGAGAGGCCATTTGTAGGTGGTGACTCGGGATCTCACTGGGATGGGGAGGAAAGGGCCGGTTCCAATCCCATCTAGTGAGGCCTCATGTGTCTCATCACTGCACGCCCAAACCTGACTGTCCAGTGCCCTTTGGAGGATGTCGGTCACCAGGCTGCCAGGGGGATCAGGCCAAGTCACGAAACCTATTCCCACCTGGAGTGGCCCAGCGCCAGTAACCTACTGCAGGAACAGGATGCATTTCTGCCAAAAGTCTTTGGGTTCCGAGATTGGTTTCTGAGGCTTTGGGATCATGGCCATTAAGCAGTTCAATCAGGAACCAGAGAGGCCATGCTGCCAATTATATAGCTGAGCCGGAGGTAGTTTGTGGGTGTGTCTCCCACATACCAAACTATTGGCCGTTTACTTTCTTGGTAAACTTTGCCCCAAGTTTTTGGGGTCTGGCCAAAGGCACAGCAGCAATTTTGGGGTATCTAAAAGTCTGACAGTGCCATCAGGCTGCTGATGCACTCGCCTCACAGGTACAGATTGACCTGCTGGCGGCACCATACCCCCAAGATCTTTGATATTTTTTTAATGCTTTTTGGGTACACCCATGTTGGCTACCGAGAGTATCTCGCCCGCACGGCAGAACCTGGCAAGCTCCCCGTGACGTATTCGATATGCCAAACACAGTAACAACAAAGTCTCCAATAGAGACGTTACTGGGCCTGCTCGAGCAAATCGACGAACAACGGGAGGGTACACCCAGTGATGCTTAGGGGTTATTTCTGGCTCTGCATGCAGGAATTACTCCTGGTGGTGCTTGGGGGACTGTATGGGATGCTGGGGATTGATCCCAGGTTGGCTGCATGCAAGGCAAATCCCCTACTCACTGTACTATTGCTCTGGCCCTTGAGCCTTTGGGGGTTTATCCCCAAACCAAAACCAATCCCAACAACAACAACAACAACAACAAAAATCAGCAGCCGAAGTTACAGTGCAGCAGGTAGGACACTCACCTTGCAGGCGTCCAGCTTGGGTTTGATCCCCAACATTCCAGATAGTCTCCTGATCTCAACCTGGAATGATTTCTTTTTTTTTCTTTTTTTTTTATGATTTATTTATTTATTGGATCACTGTGGGAAAAGTTACAGAGCTTTCGGGTTTAGGTCTCAGTCATGTAGATACCAAACATATTTCCCTTTACCAATACTCATTTTTAACCCCGAACCCCAATAGACCCCCACCTCCCACCCCTCCCAATTCTTGTGAGGCAGATGAGTTCTAGTTAATACTCTATCTACTTTGACTAGATAGATTATTTCGATAGAAGATGCACAATTATTGTTTAGAGTTTACGACCCACCCTCCACAATCAGACATGCTGAAACAGCGTTGTGAAATGATTTGCTTTCTACAATTTGGTTTAAGAATAAAATGATGTCGCGCGGCCGCAATAGCGGCCGCGCGGTTTTGAATTTCTGCTATTTTACTTATTGACCCTGGAAGAATTTCTATTAAAAGTTAGCTAGTTAAGAGATT